GTTACCCCGGTCAGCTGGTTCTGACTAATTGTGTGTGGGGGTTTATCTGTAACTTCTGGGTGTGCCTTCCTAAATAAAAGGAGCTCCAAGGCTTTGCCTTGAGTGTGAGAGCAAACTGACCTCTGTCTCTGATGTGTATTTGATTTCTCTCACCCTTTGCAAAGTATTTGTTGTTGTTTGCTTTTGGCAGGATTACAATTTACCAAATTATCAATCTAATCCCTCTGTGTGTGCTCTGAACTTTCTTTGAGGTAATATGGGAGTAATATAAAAATTACCCAACAATACTCATCTAAATTTGACTGACTCAATGAACATGCAGGATGAGATCATTTGTTTTTGTTTTTACGAAAGAAATGGGGAGAAACATGCCATAAACATTTTTGGGGTACAACAGCGCCACCTATTGGACAAATTCAAATTTTTTTTCTGTGATTTTAGATGTCACTATGACTGATATGAATTGTAACTTTCTGTATAGAATATGTATTTTTCATGAGTAAAAGGGCGAAATTTTTTAAAGGCTATAAGCCACGCCCACTTTTTAATCATTTTCGAAATATAGCTTAAGGGTCCAATGATAATAATAATAATAATGCATTGAACTTATATAGCACTTTTCTAGACACCCAAAGACGCTTTCCACACACTCTCACGGTCACACACTGCTAGTGATGGTAAGCTACTTGTAGCCACAGCCGCCCTGGGAAGGTCTGACAGAGGCGAGGCTGCCATTTGGCGCCGTCGGCCCCTCTGACCATCACTAACACAGGCAAGTTGGGTGAAGTGTCTTGCCCAAGGACCCAACAGCAGGATACCCCTGGCGGGAGCTGGAATCAAACCCATGACCCTTCGATCACGAGGCAACCCGCTCTACCACCTGAGCTACTGCTGCCCCCATATAAACATATCTGCCAAGTTCTGTGGAAATCCATTGAGCCGTTTTGCTGAAACAAACTTTTTGACTCTTTAGCACCCTCTATTGGTGAATCCAAACAAAATTTGGTAGGTAGGGCTTACCGCTCACACTTTGTAAGGGTCTAGAGTCTCATCATTTTATCTTGAAAATTGGTGAAGATATCATCAATGAGGACATGTGCTAGCTAGCGCACTGAATTTGACATAGGGTCATTAGCCCAATTTTCAATAATTTGCATTTTTCTTCGTCACAACAACTTAACTTAATCCATAGATCATATGTACAAAGTTTGAAGTTGATTCGACGAAAAATGACGAATAGGTGATTAAAACTAAGTTTTGCGTTTTTTGCGAGTTAGGCAGAAATGGGCGTGGCCAATACAAAAAGATGCAGAATCATCCAAGGATCATGTACATATAAAGTTTATGACTGTACGACCTACGATTTGGGAGCTAGTAGCTGAAACACCTTCACCTCCACAATAGCGCCACCTAGGTGACTCGGGGTCCAAATTTTCGAATCTGAGTAGCGGTCAGGATTTTCTATCAGACTGCCATGTCAGATTTTTCCTGGCAATTTCAGGCTCTTGCGCCCATACAGTATTAGCGGAGAAGAATAATAATGAAAAATCCGTAGAAAAACAATAGGGTTCCAATGCCCGTTGGGCTTGGAACCCTAATGACGACTTTAGACATCATTGGCAGTGAACGGTTGGATTTAAAATGATGACTTTAGTCGTCAGTGGCAGTGAATGAGTTATACAATGAGCTCTGCTCTCTCCTGGATGCTAATCCAACAACAACCTTCCCCCAGTCACGAGCCAAGATGGGTGAGTCCATAAATGCTAATTTTCTTTAGGTGTGTTTTGAAACTTCAGGGTAAATCCTGGGACGGGGAAATTGACGGGGATGTATGATGTTCCGGTCCTCTCAGCTGTTGTCTCCATTCAAATTCAGCCCTTTCAGGACAGCACAGATGCCAGCATATCACGACTGCTTTGGCAGTGAGTGATGTCTCTGATTAGCGCCAAAAAGCACCCAAAGTAACATTAATAAAATTAAAAGCATTAATTCTGTTAAAGTATATTATAATTCAGGATTTCCCCCAGCGCTCTATAAGCCTGGCGGCCAGCCAGGCTTTGCTTGCCTACCCGCCAGGTTGAGCGTCATGCCCTGCCCCCCTCCCCGACCCTACGGTGTCCGCTGACACGAACGGCGCAACAAAACTAGAGCCCTCAATCAGCTGATACTGGTGAGAAACAGCAGTATCACTTGTAGATGTCCTTCCCCCTGCTCTCACGGAGGAGAGCTGCGGGATGGTGCGCACTACCCCACCCCCCACACCGCCGACGGCCGAAGGCTTAACTCATTTTCTTAGTGTCCCTGTAATTTTATTCATTCAGAGGACAAGAGCAGCTGTGTGATGGAAAATGTGGCGTTCAATGACTAGAGGAACATCTGTTTTCTTCAGTGCTCTGTGAGACAGCAAAGCCCCAAAAAATAAGTCTGTGGGGGAATATCTCCGTGTTTTCCATTGTTGGGAGTTTAGTAACGCGATGTGAGTGAATTCCGCCGTATTTTCCAGTGTCAGAGTTTGATTTTAGGCGTGATTGGTACCTTCTCTCTTTTTCTTCTATTCTGCTTCACCCACAACCCTTCTAGTTTTACTACTGCTGGTTGTTTGGATGTCTGCTGATATCATTTCCTACTGAGTTACAACCAATCAGCATGAGCTAACCAAAGGTTCCATTCAGCTACTCCACCGGGCCATTCCGAGTACCTACCCCTGATCAGGTACCGTATTTTCACGACCATAAGGCGCACCTAAAAGTCTTAAATTTTCTCCAAAATGTACGCCGCGCCCTATGGTGCGGTGCGCCTATTGTGTTGTTGTGAGACACGAACGTAGTAGAAGACAAGGGGCATGGCGTGGACGTGAGCGAAGACAGACATGTGGATCTGCCACATCGTCATCAACATCCTCGCTGTTTGCCTCAGACTCCGGCTGTGAGTCTCCGTCCACTTCCTCTGCTTCTAGTTCAAAAAACAGCCGTACTATCTGAACTGCCTGGTGGACATTTATCCTTCTCATCATCCTTTATATAAGCTTAATAAAGCCTACTAAACTGCAGAGACAATATATCTGTCCGGATCGCTCCAAAATATGAAGTTTACCATCATTATCTGTCTAATTGTTTGTTGTTACTCCGTTTGTGCCACTCCTTTCCCCGCGAAGCGACTCCTTTTTGCGCACATCTCGTTACTCGTGCAGCCTTCCTTTCTCTCTCTCAGCTACATAATGATACGTTTTATCAATTGAATATGTGAAACTTCCACCAACAGCAAAAGGATCTCATGTTTTTGTGGGTTTTTTATGTTCACAAGCACATTCCCTCACGGATTACTAAACTGCTGTTTTAACAAGTTATCAGATTGTCTAAAAATAGGTTGTTTATTAGTTTAGTATAACTCCGCTTTTACGTTGCCTATTAACAACATTTAAAAACTGGGGTATAGTTTATAATCTCCTTTTTAAAGCTGAACTGAAACCGAAACTCAGGGAGGCGGAGTCTTGCTGCTACAGCGTCCGAAATCAGACCTGTTCAAAAGACGCGGATACGCGTCCATGGACCCCAGAGGGTTAATAAAACACAATTCAAATCACACTATTTTCTTAGGCCTATTAATAACACACATGATTTTGTTCATGTGGAAAGTTTATGTGGTTAAATCCACCAACTACCGGTAAACACATTCTGAAATTCAACACAGCGCATCAGCGCTTGAAGCGGCGCTGCGAGCAGCTGTGGTCCAAAAAGTACCAGAACCGCTCACGGTGCATGCACAATCATGCATCAACACTGCTCGCCCGCTGTTTCCCTAATAACACACGCTGTTCGTTTTTATTTCTACACGTTTTTTTACTCACAAAGATTGTCAAGAAAGCGTGTTTGTCGTGTTCATGTCAAATTAAACTGATCACAAAACACAGATTTGCTTTCTTTATTTCGTTTTCCTCATCCAACCCCCATAAATCCCTGTGTGTCCTCCTGCAGCACTCCCGGTGTACGCCCGGCTTTAGTAGGAGGGAGACCCGCGATTATCGCTTTGTCGCGCGTGTCTCATTGAAAATGAATGGAGGAGAGGCGAAGTTGCCTCCCGTGTGTCGAGCCCATTAGAAGAGCACGAGCCGTCAGCGCACGCAATGAGGAAGTGCACGTGCGCTCTAAACCAGGTCTGAACCAGAGCTAGACCAGTAAAGTGAAACATGCTTTTGGCTGTTTATAATTTTCACAATGTCTGGTTTGCACTGATACGTTCCGAGTCCCGAGCCCGCACAGATGTTTTACCGTGCCCGCGCCTTTTGTATGTGTTAAATACCCAAAAGACGCCCGTAACTGAAGCTGCGCCCTATAACACGGTGCGCCCTATGGTCGTGAAAATACGGTACTCAGAAAGTTTGTGAAAACAGCTTTTAGGCGGGCCCGGGCAAGTGGCCATGTCGGGAAGTTCCTGTAAATTTACCCCGAAGTTCCGATAATGGAAATGTACCTAATGTGACATAGCTCTGACTGTTTTCTAATCTGAGCATTCTCTGTTTGTTTTCTATCAGCGGCTAATGCAGGAAATTGGTGTAGAAGACCATTTTCACATTTAGCCTGCATGTTAAACTCAGAACGACCGACCATATTTCATAAATAGCAAGTATAAAATGGTTTCTCGGTGGACCTGCTCTGGCTTTAGTGTCCAGGTTTGATAGCAGATGGTGCAAATATGAGTCCTTCAGTCCCCAAACTCTTTATAGACACATGAAAACATCAGCAAACAAAACAAAACAATGGCCTCATAGTTCCATGCTACACAGCTCTAGATCACCCAATCCAATCTGCACAGAATTCAGAGGTGTTCTGGTAGGTTCTCTTTGACCTGGGTTATTCTATCAGAGGGTCGGTATGGGATGCTCCACCTACCTGTCAGATCTCCAAACCTCTAAAGCTTACCGGGATTCAACCTGAAATATTGTTTTATTTCTCTGTGGTGGGTTTCATCCTTTGACGCTCTGTGGTTCCTCTCATCCTCAGGTGGAACATGTGTGGCATCTGGGCGTTGTTTGGCAGCGATGAGTGCCTGTCAGTTCAGTGCACGTGTGCCATGAAGATCGCCCACAGAGGCCCTGATGCTTTCCGCTTTGAGAACGTCAATGGCTTTACCAACTGCTGCTTTGGTTTCCACCGGCTGGCCATCGTGGATCAGCTGTATGGGATGCAGCCGCTACGCGTCAAGAAGTTCCCTTACTTATGGCTGTGCTACAACGGAGAGATTTACAACCACTGCAGAGTAAGACCCGGGCTTCCTGCTGCCTCCAGGAGGCTTTGAACTGATGTGAAACACAGATCCTTCACTTTGCTGTCCACATAATAGATGTACTACAGTTTATAGTGTAGGAAATGGAAAATAACACATCACACTCCCGCCTGCTTGATGCTTAACCCAAAAAACAGAAATCCTTTTTCATTTTCATAATTCATCTATGAAGGACCTTCATCAGCTTCCAGTTTGAACTTGGATGCTGTTTTCTGTTTTCCTTCCAAACATTCTTCCCTCTAATGGTTTCTTTTGCTTTAGCTTATTTACAAAAGATCGTAAAGTGTAATAAACAAAACAACAATAAAGACAGTCTAAATGGGAAAAACAGAACAATGAATAAATAATAATGTGGTGATAAAACTGACATGAAAACATATTTGATGAACAATGAATATTTTTGAATGATCCAATGAAAAAACTTCATACAATTGGGTAACGCTTCCTTTTACAGTCCCCTAATTACTAAGTACTTACATGGTAATTACATAGTAAGTTAAAGTGTATTATTGTTTGAGTTCTTAAACAGTTATTACCATGTAACTCAGGTTCAATTCTAGTTTTTATTTTATTAATCATTCCCAGTAAATACAGCATCATACTATAATTACGCCTTATTACAATTATACACTTTAAGTACACAATAATACACTTTTACTTACTGTGTAATTAACATGTAAGTACTTAGTAATTAGGGGACTGTAAAGGGAAGCGTTACCAACAATTGTTTACTGGGATTATCTTGTTTTAGCGGTCAATCTGGATTATTTCTAACAAAAAAAGAGATTTGTCCTCAGATGACGGTTGGACAGAGGCAGAAGGACCAGTTTACACAAACATTGAAGCAAATCATTACCTTTGTGTTGACTCTACAGAAGAAATGTCAGTTTAAAAAGTATCTAAGAATAGAGACAGGCAGACCAGTGGGTTATTTTTCATTTTCAACTGTTTGGTTTGTAAACATTCGTGTAAACAAGCAAAGTAAAGTAATGGAAACTCCTCCGTTTCCCCTTAGTGCCGGTCACATGTCATCACCGGATGGCGATGTTTGTCCAGACTTCGTGTTTTCTGGTACTTATTCAGCAAAAATACTTTAGATCCTAATTTATGAGATTTGTTGTAATATTTGGCTTCCCAGATGCTCTAAAACAACAATAGTCATATTTAATGCTGGTTTATAAAAACCACAGGAGCTTCACTGTTTGTCTAAGAGCTGTGGTTGGTTGGTGTCCCCCACAAGAATGGGGACATTTATACAGTACCTGGGTGTTTTGGAGTCCTCCAGCTGGACCTTTTCGCAGCCTAACCCTTCTCTAAATCCGAGACCGTGGTCTTGAGTCAGAAAAGGGTAGGATGCCTTCTCCGGGTCAGGGATGAGGTCCTGCTGCAAGTGGAGGACTTTAAGTAGCTCGGGGTCTTGTTCACGAGTGAGGGAAAGCTGGAGCGTGAGATCGATAGGCAGATTGGTGCTGCATCTGCAGTGATGCAGGCGTTGTACCGGTCTGTCGTGGTGAAGAGAGAGCTGAGTCAGAAGGTGAAGCTCTCGATTTACCCGTCGATCTACGTTCCTACCCTCACCTATTTTTGCGAGCTTTGGGTGGTGACCAAAAGAACGAGATCGCGGATACAAGCGGGTGAAACAAGTTTTCTCCGCAGGGTGTCTGGGCTCTCCCTTAGAGATACGGTGAGAAGCTCCGTCACCCGGGAGGGGTTCAGAGTAGACCCGCTGCACCTCCACGTCCAGCGGCGCTAGTGAAGGTGGCTCGGGAAATCTAGTTGGGGTGCCTCCCTGGTGAGGTTTTCTGGCCACTTCGAACTGGGAGAAGACCTAAACAAAGACCCAGGACATGCTGGAGGGACTGTGTCTCTCGGCTGGCCAGGGAACATCTTAGGATTCCCCCCAGAGGAGATGGCACAAGTGGCTGGGGAGAGGGAAGTCTGGGCCTTCCTCCTCAGGCTGCTGCCCCCATGACCTGACCCCAGATAAGTGATAGAGGATGCAACTAACACTCCGGTTACCAACATTAATCAAGCTTTTTTTTTTCTACAAGCCCAAACACCTGAAGCTCTGATGGACTGTGGACAAGACTAAAACAATCTACAAAGAACCTAGAGTTTTTGCAGCTTTTATTTTGAAAAGTGACACAGAAAACAAACCAGTCACATGACCCAGGCAAAATTAGGTCTTGTTTGTCACCAGTCATGTGGTTTTCTGCAAAATGAAGCAAGCCTTGAAGCACTCCCTAAATCTTGATGTGAGAACCCCCTAAAACTAGAGCGGTTGTTCTCTGTCAGCCAAAAGGCTCCAGCAAAACTCTCTAGAAAGGAACGTTTTGATCATCATTTGTATCAGGCAGAAGTTCCTGTCCAGTTAAATAGAAAATGAGACATTACCTTTATGAAATGATCTTGAACAAGTGACTAGAATAGAACCATGTAAATGCCTGAAGATGATGAAACAAACCCTTAACACAACTCTTCTTTTAGCTGGAGCAGCAGTTTGACTTTGACTGTCAGACAAAAATGGACGGAGAGATTTTGCTCCACCTGTATGATCGCTTCGGCATCAAGAAGATGGCCTCTCTCCTCGACGGAGTGTTTGCCTTCATTTTGTTGGATACCGCCAACAGAAGGGTCCATCTGGGGAGGGACACATATGGCATCCGGCCGTTGTTTAAATTCATCACGGATAATGGATTCCTGGCCGTCTGCTCAGAGGCTAAAGGTAGCAGGATAGATTAGAAACTTAAACATTTCCGTTCTGGTGATTGGTAGAACTTTATTAACTCGTGGTTCTGATCACAGGCCTTGTAGACATTACCCACTCGATGGCTACAGCCGCCAACATCGTGCCCTTTCTTCCGGGACACATTGAGGTTTTTGATCTGAAGCTGAACGGAAAAGTTGAGTCTATCCAGTTTGAGCAGTTTCACTGCTGCACACAGGAGCCTGCTCATGCTGCCTACGATAGTGTGGAGAAGCTGCCCACAGGTGAGAAATGATCCTAACCAGGTTGGTTACTCAGTCCGTCTTTTTATCAGAACAACCTACTAGGCTGACAGAAAGGTCACAGACAACAACATGTCTTATTCTCTAGTAACCATTAAAGGATGGCTAGAACTTCTACTTTTTTCATAAATCAAATAAAAGAAAACTAAGCAAATGTGTCTCCACAGGAGTTGACAAGGAAACGGTGAAGAGCAACATCAGACGGCTGTTTGAAAATGCCGTGAGGAAACGTCTGATGGCTCACAGGCGGATTGGGTGTCTGCTGTCAGGTGACTCAACCAACAAGGCCACATTGGTCATCAATTCTATCAGTGCAACAAACCCAGATTTACAGATATTGATCTAAACTGAAGTTTTAGAAGCTGAGAGTCAGAGGCAACCATGACACTAACTAGAACATTGCAAAAAATTCTTCCCAAAAACATATTACCTTTTGGAGTCCACTAGAGCTAGTGTTGGTAGCTAGTGAGCTAACTGCCCTGATCCACCTATCCCAGTTCCTCTTTCCTTCCCTCCAGATACCCCACCCCCCACCCCCCCAGTCACCCTATGAAACAGATAAACAAATAGAAACAAGATGGAGAAAATACTGGTTAATATCGGCCCAGCTTTATTTATCGAACCGATGCAATAAGTTAAAAATGACTAACATCGGCCAATACTGATATTGATGCAAATATATTGTGCATCCCTACTAAATACCAGTCACCGTTTTCTACGTCCAAACGTCTTTTGTTGATCGCGACTTCAAATGGTGTTTTTGGGATTCTAGTAGTTTGTCCTAAAGTGGTAGCAGCCGGCTGTTTCTCCTCTGATATTATTGAGCGGAGAACGTCTCACACCAACGGTGTTCCGTTAGGACTGGGCAATAAATCGAAAATTTATAGTTATCGAAATTTCTGACACTTATCGTGATATTTTCCCCATGTCAATAAATTTGATACAAAAAAATTACTAGATGTGTGTAGGTTGGCGATGTTCATGTCCCTTTAAGAAGCTGTACCACCTTGAGTCACGTAAAATGTGACTCAACGTAATACACGTGACAGCCCCATCTAGTGGTCAACCTTTTTTTCTGCGCATACCTGTAGTTCATTTATCGTTATCGAGTTGAAATCCTCAATATGTCATGAAATTAATTTTAGCCCATATCACCCAACCCTATATTCTGTTGATAAATACGCGAGTGTGTTATGAGCAGAGGACCCAGGGAAGAGCGGGAATTCTGTGAGACCAACAATCAGATGATCCAATAGTGGCTTTCTGTCCGAAATGTGTTATTGGCAGAGATATTTAGATAAATGTTCGAGAACCACTAGTTAAATTTTTTCTTTTTCTTTCATTTCTACAACATATTTATAGCTAAATTACAGCTCTTTACAAGACACACCATGCCAGCAAATCGGCGTAATATTACCACTCCTGCCTAATTGCCAGCATTCGTTCCTCCTCTCTTGGTAGTAATATTGCTGTAATTGTCTGTCTTATAAATGGCTATTGCACCTTGGTGCAACAGAGGGAGGTGTCATGATGACGTAGGAAGTTAATGCCGAGCTCCGGCCGGCAGCTACATAAGTTTTACTTTTTGAACAAAATCACCTGAGACGGCCAACAAGCTTATCTCCGTTAGAGCTGGAGCTCAGATCACCAGAGACTGCATGGGAACTGTGACAGACATCTTTAGGAGCAGCTCATTAAAAAAATTTAACGATCGCAGCTTCTATCACAGTAAAAAAACAAGTCATGTCCAAGATAAACGAAAGTTTGCGGCTGAGAAAGGACCGCCCCATACCCTTTTATACCTCCATCACCTAATCTTTTTTTAAATGGGACACGATTGCGGCACATTACCGCCACGGTCTGACCACTTATGAACGACTTAAGGTTCCCTGATGCCGCCACGGCGTTGCGACAAATTAACAGCATTGTTTTGTAAAAACGGCTCATGTTAGAACGTTGTTAAAAGGCATGAAATAATGTTTTTTTTTAAGCTAACTTGTTTTCCAAATTTGCCATTTCACCTTCAATCAAACTCGGACAGAAACAGCAGATTAATGGGCTCGACAGATGGGAGGCTACAAACTACAGCGATAAGCAAAACTTTTTGCTCTCGCTTTGATAACCTGACACACGGGAGGCGACATGCGGCAGCGGCAAAAGCCAGCAACGCGCTCTGTTCCAGGGCAAATAGCAAGTCTTCCGTTGTTTTGATTGGTCGTAAGATTAGAGGGAATTTTAGATTATTAAAGCAGTTCAGAGGTAAAAAAAAAAAAAAAAAAAGTGGTGGATATGAAGTCTGATGGGGTTTTGTTAGAGTTAAGTGAAGTCTTGCTCCTGACTACTATATAAAAAAGAAAACTACATGAATGGGTTCATCCCACATAACAAACAGAAAAAAATGGTGGATATGAGACCACACCAACATATTCCCCATGCCGCTGCCTTTTCGTGAAGATCTCTATATTCTTTTGTAGAAACGTTGTAAAGCCCTGGGAGATCAGACACAGCAATTACTAACTTTTCCTCAATGTTTACCTGGAGATGTACTGAGAAGCTTCCTGTCTGCTCATTGGTTAGTCAATAAAACCTCCGCCGATTGGTCATTGTCCGAGCAACAGCGATGAAAAGTTGAAATATTTAAACTTTCTGACATTGCGTCGCTAGCTCGCCTGTGCACAACACATGCACGAGCACAAAATTTCACATGCACGTTTTTCGCGTGTCGCTTAGCAGGAGGGACACCCGCAATTATCGCTTTGTCACACACGTCTCATGGATGATGAACGGAGGGGAGGCGATGTCGCCTCCCGTGTGTCGGGTTCATAATGCTTGGAGTCAGTACTATTCAAGATGGCCTCCAGCAAAGCAACACTGGTGAACCTAAGAATGTGGATATGTTAATGAAACTCTAAAAATGATAATCTAGCATTATTGCTTCTTTTGAGATAATTGGACTCCAAAGAATTAGAAGCTGGTGGTCCTCCTCACCATGAATGCTCAGCCTCAGGTGGTCTGTTTTCAGAGATAAGATTTATTATATTCAAGTGATCACTAGCACAAATGAGCCAACAGACATTTAATATCCTAATAATTTAATCATTCTAAGTTCATTAGTAAAAGCCATTGATGGAGTTGCATGACTCTTCTGGACTGATTTCCAGGTGGCCTGGACTCCAGTTTGGTTTCTGCCATTTTGGTGAAACAGGCTCAAGCGGAGAAGCTGCCGTATCCCATTCAGACATTTTCCATCGGGTCTGACGATAGTCCGGACATCCTTGCTGCTCGCAAGGTCAGTTCATTCACCTTTGGTGTGTGTGTGTGTGTGTGTGTGTTTGTGTGTGTGTGTGTGTGTGTGTGTGTTAAGGTTGGGTGATTGGACAAATTTATCAACCGCCAGTGATAATTTGAGCCTTTTACAAATAGTTTATTTTTAAGAGTGATATTTTTCATGCCTGTGAACAAGTCGTTTTGATGAGAAATTACAAACTTCCAGGTTAAATCAGCATCTTTGGTTGCACATTCTCTGTACATATACATACAGGCATGAGAAAAAGTTTGGGCACCCCTGATCATTTTCCTTTATAAATCGTTGGTGGTTTCAGTTACATGTATCATAGAGCAGGTGAACACAGTGATATTTGAGGAGTGAAATGAAGTTTATAGGATTTACACAAAGTTTTCATTAATTGTTTGAACAAAATTAGACGTGTGCATAAATTATGACACCCTTGTCATTTTATTAATTAGAAAATATTTAGCACTAATTATTGGAACACAAAATTGGTTTGGTCATTGACCCTTGACCTGGCTTTGTTTGGGTTCACACCTTCACTTTGTTTATACTCATGATTTAATTTTCTACTCTATCACTGCTATTGTTTTTCAGATGTTTTTATTGGTTAGAGGTATTTGCCCTGATCTTTATCATGTTGACAGCGCTTTGTGATTTATATCTGTGAAAGGCGCTATATAAATACACTTTTACTTACTTACTTATTTACCTAAACAAGTAAATTCCAGTAATGGTGAAAGGTATTCACGGGGGCCATTTGCAAGTTTGAATATTCTCCAGAGAGTAGCTAAACTTGGGTCACAAAACAACTTTCAAATGACCTGGAAATAAAGATTGTTCACCGCTGTGGTTTTGGGGCAGGATCCAGATTTCAGCTGTCTGTTTCCACAGTTAGGAACATATTGAGGACATGGAAGACCACAGGCACACTTCAAGTAAGGCTCCAAGTGCAGACCAAGAAAAATGTCAGATAAAAAAAGTTAAGGATGGTGAGAAGTTGAGAACAGTCGAGTCATCCCACAGACCAGCGCCATATACCTACATTATCTTGCTGCAGATGGAGTCACTGTGCATTGTTCAGCTATTTGCACAAGGAGGTGCTGGATGCAAGAGTGATGTAGAGTCCTGATTTTAAAACTTTGGCTTAAAGCTTCTTTCTGGAGTATTTCTCTTATCTGATGGCACCATCTAGTGGCTGACAAGCATATCACACAAAAAGTCTATTCCTCTGTTTAAGATGGCGATTTCACGTTTCTGTTTATAAATGAGCTTCTTAGCCAACAAACGGAGCTAAAACACGCTGTTTCATGAGTATTATTCTCATGTCATGTTGTGTTTTCATATATTTATATTTTAGAGACTTACTTGTCGGTGAAAAGTTCATCAACTCTGCATCAAGCGAGGTATTCCTTAAACTTGAAGCAAATAAGCGGTAGTCTAACGCTATTGGTTAGCTCTGGTCGGCGCTCAGTTCCCTATTGAATGGAGCTCTGCGGGGCAGGGGGCGTGCTTAGCAATAAAAAAAGACATATTGCTTATCATGATACATGATGAGATAATCACTTTTACGGATTTCTGAAAAATCATACATCATTTCTGAAAGGGGAAAACTCCGGAAAGCAGCTTTAAATAGCGCTCGTTATTCAGGACCCGCTTCAAGTGTGTCGGCAGAGTGCGGATTCATCCAGAACGACATTTAAACATCCACAAGTCTGTCTGAGGCAAAAGTCCAGAACCTCATAACCTCTTCAGCAAACTCCCTAGAGACATTCGATTACATACAAGCTGCAGGTGACCAGTTCAGGTTTACGCGGAGCAGAAGGAATGTGCGTTCAGAAGTGGTAGGCTGATAAAACAGTCATAATTATAAATGCTTTTTTCAAGAGGTCGAGTAGCTTGTTTCAAGCTTTGTGTGGGTTAGGCTACACAGGTTGGAAATTGATTATACAGTCAAACTCATGAGTGAGCCACCGTAGCTGCAATACTTTCTCTGGACTGCACGGCGCTAAAGAGTCACAGTTTTTCATCATGACTTCAATGGATTTCACACACGGGGCCTTTAAGGTTGGGTGATTTGTATAATTTTCCCCACCACCAATCGTCAGTCGACGATGGGCGATTTATTTGTGCATGTGACTCTGAGCAACATCATGATGCACGGACTGATTTGCGAATACAATAGAAGTACAAACACTGATCTCTTTTTTTCTATAGAAGTGCAGCACAAATGTTTGCTGGAAGAGAAAGTTTGATTTTTCATTTAGTTTAATCTTGTATTTGTAGTTTGGTAGTGACGTACAAACGGCCCGTATTAAACATGGTTAAAGTGTTAAGAAGAAGCCTGGTCTTCGTTCCCCTGTGGTGCCCGCCATTGCGGTATTTTATTTAAGCAAAATGGTTTTTCTTTCTGAACAAAGGCTAGTGGGTTTCTTTCTTTTATAACTTAGAGAAATGAAATGAATGGCTGCTGCGTTCGGACGCACTCTGAGGAGGCAGCCAGAGGTCACATGATCCATTTATCCCCATCACTTTAGCTTTTAAAATAGTAAATAATCATTCAATTTTCATTCTTTTGAATTAATATTTAGTCCAAACAAGCTGAACAGAATGCCCCAATAACATATAAATAATTTCACTTTAATTAGGAACATTTCATATGACTGTACACATATATGTGCAGAGTACACATATATGTGTGCAGAGTACACATATATGTGTGCAGAGTACACATATATGTGTGCAGAGTACACATATATGTGTGCAGAGTACACATATGTGTGCAGAGTACACATATGTGTGCAGAGTACACATGTGTGCAGAGTACACATATATGTGTGCAGAGTACACATATATGTGTGCAGAGTACACATATATGTGTGCAGAGTACACATATATGAGTGCAGAGTACACATATATGAGTGCAGAGTACACATATATGTGTGCAGAGTACACATATATGAGTGCAGAGTACACACATATGAGTGCAGAGTACACACATATGAGTGCAGAGTACACATATATGTGTGCAGAGTACACATATGTGTGCAGAGTACACATATGTGTGCAGAGTACACATATATGTGTGCAGAGTACACATATATGAGTGCAGAGTACACATATATGAGTGCAGAGTACACATATATGTGTGCAAAGTACACATATATGAGTGCAGAGTACACACATATGAGTGCAGAGTACACACATATGAGTGCAGAGTACACACATATGAGTGCAGAGTACACATATATGAGTGCAGAGTACACACATATGAGTGCAGAGTACACACATATGTGTGTACTCTGCACTCATATGAGAATCCTAAGATTCTTGTGATTCCATTGATATTTGCCAGTTGAGCCAACCATAACTGTAAACGTAATAAATGTCAAACTACTCGGAAATTCTAAATATTGAAAAAGAACTCCCCATTTAAAGCCTCATATAATGGACAGAACAACGCCACGTTGAACAAAAATGATATCTTTTACGCCCACAAGGGTCCAATAAAAGTACTACTAGTCCAATAAAACATTTAGTCCACAACAAGTCTTGCAGCCCCTCGTGGTCTGCTTCTGCAAACTTATTAAGAACTTAAGATTACTGTGAATGGTGGATTGTCCCATAAAATGTCTAAATGTCACCTGCACAAATAAATCGCTCATCGTCATTTGTTGGACTGACTTATATCCGCTGGAAAATTTTACACATCGCCGAACCGTAATGTATGTTAATAATAATAATAATAATAATAATAATAATGATAACAATACTAATTAGAGCTTCTTCGTTCTGATGTATTTTCCGGGCTGAAACAGTCAGATTGGTACGTTTTTTGCATTTTGTCAGGTGGCAGCTCACATTGGCAGCGAACATCATGAGGTCAACTTCACCGCAGAGGAGGGGATCCAGGCTGTGGAGGAGGTCATCTTCCACCTGGAGACCTATGACATCACCACGATCCGTGCCTCTGTTGGTGAGTTCACAGATTTAAATGATCTTTTAAATCTATTTTAAAAGACTATAATATGATGTAGATGTCCATGGCAGTAGCAGGTGATGACTCCTCTAACATCTTTACAATATATTCATAGCTGCACCATGTTAGAACGTTGTCAAGAGGTACGAAGAAAGTGTTTTAAGCTCATCTGCTGTTGCAGCTTTAACCAAGGCTTTCTGATTGTTGTATGCTTGTTGTGCCTCAGAACAGCCTAAGCTAGGTCCCTGTCTGTGTTGCAGGTATGTATTTGGTATCCAAGTACATCAGGTCAAAGACGGACAGCGTGGTGATCTTCTCTGGAGAGGGAGCTGACGAGCTGACTCAGGGTTATATTTACTTCCACAAGGTGAGCGCTCCCAGAGCAGTTTTGGGTTTCAGTAAATCTTTGATTTAGGCTCAAAGTTTCATGTTGATATTTGTCTGTGGTCTAGTCCACAGGTAGCCGTTTTTTTTTTTAAACAAATATCCGCCCCTCCAAAAACTTGCATCCACACCACCTCGTTTTAAAAAGAAACTCTGTCCACACGTACCCGGATAAATACGTTGTTAAGGACATGCCAGACCTGTAGGCGGCAGTACTTCCCCCGTTCTTAACCTCGTCCTTCGTCTGTGGTCTTCCGCAAGGAGCAGTAATTCCGCTTGCAAAAACAAACAAGCAAAAAGCGCTTGGACAATTGATAAAGCGAGCGCAGCTCTGAGGGCATCCATGCTGTCGGCTAGTGTAAACACAGGTCGCACACGTGATGTCAGCATTGTTTTGTCGCGGAAAGTGACGTTGCGGACCTTAAAACTCCGGTTTTGTCTGTCCACACGCAGACACCCAAAACGGAGAAAACGCAGATCTTCACTTTGGCCCGAGTTTTTAAAAAGATCCGTTTTTGTGTGAAAAAATTCCGTTTTCGTGTGGATGACAGGCCAAAACGTAGAAAAATATCTACGTTTTGGCAGATCCCCGGCTACGTGTGGACAGGGCCTGAAGCAGGAGGAGTTTCTGTAGTTCCACCAAAGGGTTTCTGTTCGGTTCTGAAAAGAGAAGCCTTATTTATTTCTGCCATCATCTTGGGAAAAGAAGTTCTCAGACCTGTTGATGATGGATCTGTTGCTTCTATTGAAGCTGATGGTTTGTATGTATCAGATGGACCTTTTGGTTCTGATGGTTCTGTGTTTCTCATTCAGGCTCCGAGTCCCAGAGCAGCAGCAGAGGACAGCGTCCGCCTCCTGAAGGAGCTCTACTTGTTTGATGTTCTGCGGGCCGATCGCACCACGGCGGCTCACGGGTAAACGTCCTGCTGACGAAACTCAGTCAGCTCAAAATTAAAAATTAAACTTTGTCTGCAATCAGAACAAAAGTTTTAAAGCCTCGTCACCCAGTGGCATGCTGAGCAATGATTCATGTTGGGAACCAACCCAGAGCGGGGGGCATGTGTGAGCGGTTCTATTGACCAACATATAATCCGTGATCGGGGGTGGAGGCTAGACCGAGAGGCTGTCCAGCTGTCCAGCTGTCCAGGCGTTGACTCGCGGACCACCGGCCATGTTTAGAGTTCTTGTGGGGCACAGTTTTTTCTTTTAATTGATGTAAAAGTATTTTTATTGTGATTGTTTATGTTTACTTGCTCGACAACAAATCTAACAAAGTCACATATAAACAGTTTGTTCTGAGAAAAGCTTGTATCAGACGTCATAACCACCTTATGTAAGCCACCATTACCTAGAGCGTTTGTCCGTTTCCAGCCACCTGGGTGGTTTTAGAGGACGGAGCAGTGGAAACGTGATGGCGGCAGCTAGCCTTCACCAACGCAGCACGAGAGATATACTCGGCAAGATAAACGAAAAGCAAAAACCAACCAAATGTGTCGTTCCGGCAGCTCAAGCATCAGGCACCCACCTCTGACCACCGCTGGCCCTTACTGCTACATCCGGAGCACGTTCAAACACGGACAGAACTCTGAATGTGTAAAATAGTTCAACCTGATCCTGGGTCAGTCAGGAGCGCTGCCACAAAAAGCTTTAAAGATCACTCGATCACGTTTTCTGAAATCACAGCTTGGATCAGAAAATGATAACTGGTTGAGCTCGTGTGAGATGGGTCTGTTAATGAAAAGAAGGAAAACCCGGAGAGTCCTCTGGAATTCTGCCCACAGGGACTGGAGGAATCCGTAATGATGGTGGCATCGGGTTTATTGTGATGTGTTTGGTTTTCAGTCTGGAGCTCAGAGTGCCGTTCCTGGACCACCGATTCACAGCGTACTACCTCTCTCTACCCGAGGAGATGAGAACTCCCAAGGTCGGTCCATCGGTTTGTTTTACGGCAGGCGTGTTGATGCCATGCGTCACGCTGCCTGGGTTTTGTCTCCTGTCAGGACGGAGTGGAGAAACACCTTCTGAGGGACTCTTTCAAAGGACTCAACTTAATCCCTGATGAGATCCTTTGGAGGCGCAAAGAAGCTTTCAGTGATGGAGTGATGTCTGTGAAGAAGTCCTGGTACACCTGTCTCCAGGAGCATCTTGAGTCTATGGTGCGTGGGGGGGGGGGGGGGGGGGGGATGTTGGTATTAAATCATGAAGGATCTGATTGTGTTGATCTGCTGCAGCAGAGAGATCGTATAATCATCAGATTATAGGTACAGCTCCCATATCTACACGTCAGAGAACCCAGAGCTGAGAATATTATGAAAGTAGTGATCTACTGTAAACTCCTCATCAGCTGATGAGCAGCCTCTGACCCTGGGTCAGCAGCTGCACAGCCATGGAGAGGACATGTGTTTTACTTTTTACAGTGAAGTTTGTTTTTCTGTCTCAGGTGAATGATGACCAGATGGAGAAGGCTCATAAAACCTTCCCTCACAACCCCCCCACCTCCAAAGAGGCGTACTACTTCAGACAGGTGTTTGAGAGGCACTACCCGGGCCGGGGCCAGTGGCTGCCCCACTACTGGATGCCCCGATGGATCGATGCCTGCGACCCGTCAGCACGGACTCTGTCCATCTACCAGCCAGACAAAGACCAGTGACCCTCCCCACCAAACACACACACACACACACACACACACACACACACACACACACACACACACACCAACTGTAAACCCCTCGTTCAGATGAAAGATGTCCGACTGTAACCGAGTTTATCTGACTCACTGTGGTGGGAGCAGCTGGAGGCTCTCAGGTTTAGTACAGATCTGTGTTTATACCTGCTGCTGGTTGTGAGAAGAACCGCATCTCTCATCTGGATCAGGTTGTGGAGGCAGCAGCAGCAGCAGCAGCGTGTGGTTGGTGGCGTATGTCTGCTGAAGCGTCTCATCAACACACCTGATGGTGGCTTTCAATTACTGCTGCCTTTATAATAAACCTAGAAAAAAAACATGTTTGTTTATCTGTTTTATGGATGTTGTTTATCAAAGGTTCAGCTAGATGAGTAGGTGGGACCCCCCCCCCCCCCTACACACACACACACACACACACACACACACACACACTGAGGCTAAAATAGTTCTGCAATGATCATGGTTTCACTTTTCAGTAGCAGAAAAAGGAGGTAACTCGTCATTCTTTTTAAATGCTGACTAGTGACGATGATGCAAGGTGAGCTAGGCAGGAAAGAGCACCAGAGTGTCGTCATCCTCTTTTTAATCTTTTATTCTGTGAAGTATGGGTTTGAAACGTTCTAACATAAAACGCACCAGAGGTGACCTGATGGCCCAAGCAAAAGCAATCGTCACTCAATCCAGTTGACACCTGAGTGGTGTCACATGATCAGAGAAGCGTCATTTCATTTGCTGTAAGCCACTTGACAGCGAGCCTCTGTGGAGCTATGTGCTTGCTTAAAATAATCAGTGGAACAGAATCGTCTCGTCTTCTTCCGCCTATCTGGGCCCGGGTCACGGGGGCAGCATCCCAACTAGGGAGTTCCAGACCGTCCTCTCCCCAGCCACCTGCACCAGCTCCTCCAGCAGGACCCCAAGGCGTTCCCGGTCCAGTTAGGAGATGTCATTTCTCCAACGTCCTGGGCCGACCAGGGGGCCTCCTGACCAAAGGACATGCCTGAAACCTCCCTCCCTGGGGAGGCGTCCACGAGGCACCCTAACAAGATGCCCAAACCACCTCAACTGACTCCTCTCGATATGGAGGTGCAGCGGCTCTACTCTGAGTCTCTTCCACCCCGCGGAGAAAACTCGTTTCGGCCGCTTGTATCTGTGATCTTGTTCTTTCAGTCGTTACCCAAAGCTCATGACCATAGGTGAGGACTGGGCAGTTGATAACTGGTAAATCGAGAGCCTTGGTTTCCGGCTCGGCTCCTTCTTCACTACAACCGACCAGTTCAGTGTCCGCATCACTGCAGATGCTGCCCCAATCCGCCTGTCCATCTCCCGCTCCCTCCTTCCCTCACTTGTGAACAAGACCCGGAGATACTTGAACTTCTCCACTTGAGGCAGGACCTCTCTCCCGATCCGGAGTTGGCAAGCCGCCCTTCTCCGGTCGAGAACCATGTTGTCAAACTTGGAGGTGCTGATCCTCATCCCAGCCTCTTCACACTCGCCTGCGAAGGTGCCGAGCAAGAGCTGTAGGTCAGAGCCTGATGAAGCTAGGGGGACCACATCATCCGCATAAAGCAGAGGCGATATTCTCCTGCCACCAATCTCCACACCCTCAACACCACGGCTGCACCTAGAAATCTTGTCCATAAACGTTATGAGCAGGACCGGTGACAAAGGGCAGCCCTGGCGGAGTCCCAACCCTCTCTGGTACAGGGACCGAATGGCCCTTAGCAAAAGACCATCCACCCCTTACTCCTGGAGTGCCCCCCACAGGGTTCCTCTGGGGTCACGGTTATAAGCTTTCTCCGAGTCCACCAAACACGTGGATTGGTTTGAACAGAATTGTTCATTTTTATAATATTGTAAAAAAAAAAATCCATTTTGACACCAAGAAACGTCGGGGAACGTTTGTGTTTGTGTATCTAGGTTTTCGCCCGGATTACAGACGAGCTCGACAGGTTAAATCCTCTTGAGAACCTGGAGATGTTGCCAGACCCTCAGTGTTAGTCCTGAATGCAGAAGACCTGAAATCACAGCACACAAATTCCACTCTCTCTGAATAAAAAGCTGCAGGGACCAGACACTCCAGCATCAAGTGTCAAGTGATCATCCCGTCAAAATGCGGGAAAAAGTACATGTGATGTTTACATCTTATGATGTTTTAAATAAAGGTCTACATACTTAGTCATTTGGAATATCATAAATAATCCAGAGGGTTATGGAACAAAAAGTCACGTGGAAGACCCAAAAGCGTTTCACCAGGACGGAGCCGGAAGATCAGATCTTCTATCCATCAAGACACTGAACGATCCTCGACCAACTAAAGCCATGACTGATGTGAGCCGCAGCTCTGCGACCATCAGACGGCCTCTAATGCCTCCATGCTTTCGTTCTTTTTTAAACACAGAAACAGTTTTGTTTACCTGTTTGTAGCTACAGTTTCGCCGACGGCTGCCGGCTTCTTCAGGCTGACGCTGATGGTGACGCGTCACTTCCTTCTCCGTTTATCTGCGGGCAGCAGAGGACGTTGTCGCCCTCTACTGCCCGCTCTCCCCTCTCCGACGATGCAGTCCCATGCGTGGTCCAGCGTGTAAACTCCGTCGTCCCTGTTCATGGTCCCACATCCACGTCTCCTTATCTCGATTGCTTCCTTGATCCATCTTTTGTATTTTTGTTGTTCGGTGGTTATGATCCGTGTGCTGTCCCAGTCCATTATATGGTTTTCTCTTAAGCAATGATCTGTTACGGCTGACTTTTTTATTGTACTTTCTGCTTCTTCTTTTGCTGCTCTTGTGTGTTTACGATTTGCCTCTTTCTCGCACTCTAATGCTGACGGACCTCAAAAACTGACATCTTCAAAGACCTCGTCTCGTTGAACGTTACAGAACTGACCGGACTTGGCAAGAGAGCCCCAATCATGGGAGTTGGTTGAACTAGGGAGGATGGTTGAGAACATGATGGAGAACCCTGATCCTCCTCTACAACCAGAGGCTTCTTCAGATCTGCTGCAAACACAAGACTGCTACAGAAGATCCACCCTGCCCAGAATTAAGGTTCAGCCAGGGGACAGTGATCTCCACACCTGTCTCTCCTTCTCAACAGCTCAAAAGTAAAACAGCACCTGTTTCAAGGCCCAAGGCGCTTAGGCTCGACCACCAGGCTCGTTTCTTAATCACAGATGTGATCCTTTAGTAAGTACATTTTATTTGTACAGCACGTATCACAAAGAATCACAAAGAGCTTCGCAGAGATCAACAAAACAAAAATTATAAACTCATAAAATCAAAGTGATCATGCAAACAAAACTGCAAATATCAAATACATTTAAATCAGTGAAAGTCATGAAGTTATAAAATGATCATAAATATCTAAACAGAAAAAATTAGAGTAAAAACAAGAAGAAAACAACAGATTTAAGTTTTTTAAAGGTGACCAGACTGTCAGTACTATGTAAGGATAAAGAGATCATTCCAAAGTCTGAGTGCAACATTCAGGAAGGAGCGATCATCTGGACTTTTATATCTGACCTTTGGAACTTCTAGAAGATTCTGATGTGTGGACCTGAGGGCTCGTGTTGGAGCATGAGGCTCCGTAATACTGAAAGGAGCTTGACCATGCAGAGCCCTGAAAGTCATAGTCAGGATTCTAAAGTTAACGGGTAACCAGTTCACAGACATCAGGAGTGATGTGTGCTCTTCTGTTGGCTCCAGTTAGGAGCCTCGCTGCAGAGTTCTGGACCAGCTGAAGGTTCAAACATGAAAAGTGTGTTACAGTAAATAAGGTCTGATTAGTCAAAATTGTCCTGCTGAAAACCACTTTGGGCAATAATTTTAAAGCCTGAACAAGAACCCTGCCACAACCCTTGTTAGGACAGGAAAGTCCTTTTCTAAAGTCATTATTTTTAGGGTTAACACAAACCTGGGGTTGTGCCATCACTCCCAGTCCCAAATGCTGGTTTTTACCTATGGTTTTTACACAAAAAAGCGCGGTCGAAGCAGGTTATTACAAGTGTAACGTGAGGAAATATGGGTTTTCTGTCACAAAGGTGGTGTTGGACTCAGCTGTGTCAAAGCTGGGTCGCTGAGAACTTTCACCCACAGATTAAGACCTGAACGCCAGCGAGTCTGGGAGGAAACCATAACATCTGCCACCGCTGCGGTACCAGAAGAAGGAGTTCTCATGGACAAGTAGTCACAACAAGTCAAAACATAAAGTTTAAACTTCCTTTTCTTGGTTTGAATGTTAAAAGTTTAATCATCAATTTGCTCATTATAAATGTGTTTTAATCAAATGAATGACTATTATGCTTTTGGGTAATTATAAGAGATTTAATGAATCCATTCTTAAATAATGTTGAGAATGTTTGGTACTGACCTTCACACACACTCAAGCACACAAACATTCACACACACCCACACACATCTGCTCACAGTAAACTCCAAAACACATTTGCTGACGCACACGTTTGCTTTGAGAGGAGAAAGGTTTTTGGGAAGTTTCAGTCTTATGTTTTCAGTTCGTGTTGGACAACGAAAGAGAGTGGACCTGAAAACCAAAGGGGGGGCAGAGGCTGTTGGCTCGTTCCTCCCCCCTTTCACGCTGTTCCTGCCAAGCCAGGCAGAATAGCTGAATCGCGACTTCTAACGCAGACTCATTACCGAGTCTTTTGATTTCTGAGTGAACTTAACTTAAGAAAGCGCATCGACAAAACGCTTTACCATCAACGTGTACCGAGGGCAACTCTGGACCGGTTCGCGGCACATCTTTGTCTTCTTTGCCAGCCAAGGTGCCCTGGATGAAACATCCTAAGGTGACGTCCCGGGTCCAACAGAGGGTCCGATTTTCGGTGAGGCAAAACACGACAGATAGCGTTTTGATGCATCTTTTCCAACTAAACCTAAGTTTATTCAAACCATCACTTTTCACTCAGACACCTGTTTCTTCCTGAAGCAAAATCAGATGCACACACGCATTCATCTCACCTCATGTTCAATTCTCACGACACTTTGCACACCCACGCATCCATAACCACATCCTATTACTCTCAATCTTCATTCACCGACAGAAGGTCGATTTGAGCAAGAACAGCATATCAACTGTTAAAGATTGTCCCACAAAGTTGCCAATGTTGATTGTTATTTCCTGTTTGTCAATTTCAAAATCATTAGTTTAATTTGAAGAATTAAAACTTTTAATTGTCAAACTGGTTTCCTCATTGAACTGAAACACAGACACACAGATATTATCGTCAGTTTATCGATGAAAACAACCTTTGAGTCTTCTTAACAATATAACTGAGTAAAGACAGTTTCTCCTTACAATATAACTGAGCCAGTCAATATTTTCTTTACAAATATGGCTGAGCCAGCCAAATTTCTTTACACAAGCATCAGCAGACTTGACTATTTCAGTCTCATTCTCCAGTCATTTTTTAATATTGTTTAATTTTACTACATGGAGTGCAGACTTATTAAGGAAGTTGTATTTTTGAGGAATCATTTTATTATTGAACAACAACCATGTTCTCAATGAACCCAAAAAGCTCATTAATATCAAAGCTGAATGTTTTTGGAAGTAGTTTTTAGTTTTAGCTATTTTAGGGTGATATCTGTGTGTGCAGGTGACTATTACTGTGCATAATTATTAGGCAACTTAACAAAAAACATATATACCATTTCAATTATTTATTTTTACCAGTGAAACCAATATAACATCTCCACATTCACAAATATACATTTCTGACATTCAAAAACAAATCAGCGACCAATATAGCCACCTTTCTTTGCAAGGACACTCAAAAGCCTGCCATCCATGGACTCTGTCAGTGTTTTGATCTGTTCACCATCAACATTGCGTGCAGCAGCAACCACAGCCTCCCAGACACTGTTCAGAGAGGTGTACTGTTTTCCCTCCTTGTAAATCTCACATTTGATGATGGACCACAGGTTCTCAATGGGGTTCAGATCAGGTGAACAAGGAGGCCATGTCATTAGTTTTTCTTCTTTTATACCCTTTCTTGCCAGCCACGCTGTGGAGTACTTGGAGGCGTGTGATGGAGCGTTGTCCTGCATGAAAATCATGTTTTTCTTGAAGGATGCAGACTTCTTCCTGTACCACTGCTTGAAGAAGGGGTCTTCCAGAAACTGGCAGTAGGACTGGGAGTTGAGCTTGACTCCATCCTCAACCCGAAAAGGCCCCACAAGCTCATCTTTGATGATACCAGCCCAAACCATTACTCCACCTCCACCTTGCTGGCGTCTGAGTCGGACTGGAGCTCTCTGCCCTTTACCAATCCAGCCACGGGCCCATCCATCTGGCCCATCAAGACTCACTCTCATGTCATCAGTCCATAAAACCTTAGAAAAATCAGTCTTGAGATATTTCGTGGCCCAGTCTTGACGTTTCAGCTTGTGTGTCTTGTTCAGTGGTGGTCGTCTTTCAGCCTTTCTTACCTTGGCCATGTCTCTGAGTATTGCACACCTTGTGCTTTTGGGCACTCCAGTGATGTTGCAGCTCTGAAATATGGCCAAACTGGTGGCAAGTGGCATCTTGGCAGCTGCACACTTAACTTTTCTCAGTTCATGGGCAGTTATTTTGCACCTTAGTTTGTCCACACGCTTCTTGCAACCCTGTTGACTATTTTGAATGAAACGCTTGATTGTTTGATGATCACGCTTCAGAAGCTTTGCAATTTTAAGACTGCTTCATCCCTCTGCAAGATATCTCACTATTTTTGACCTTTCTGAGCCTGTCAAGTCCTTCTTTTGACTCATTTTGCCAAAGGAAAGGAAGTTGCCTAATAATTATGCACACCTGATATAGGGTGTTGATGTCATTAGACCACACCCCTTCTGATTACAGAGATGCACATCACCTAATATACTTAATTGGTAGTAGGCTTTTGAGCCTATACAGCTTGGAGTAAGACAACATGCATGAAGAGGATGATGTGGACAAAATACTCATTTGCCTAATAATTCTGCACTCCCTGTATTTCAGCAGCTCTTAGGAGGTTGCAGTGCTGCTCAAAAGCAAGGAAACTTTTTTTCTGTCTCAACATCACGCCCCAGAGCCAGGTTTTCTGCCTTAGTTGCCATGGTTACCCCCAAAATGCTGCTGATAAGCAGCTGTATTGATATGCAGTATTCATAACAGTTTGCATTGTCCATTTTTGACAACAAATAGGTGTGCAGGAGGCAGGATGTCACCCAAAAACACCTGCGCTCATTTCTAGGATGGGTGCGATTTAAAAATGACTTTGTGTTGGTATGTTTTTGCTGAGCTTAGGTGGAGTTTTACTCAGGATTCTATGCAAGGTTTTATAAACGAGGCCCCAGGTGATTGTGTGAAGAACTTGCTTATTTTTCAGCGGCGAATCCAGAGCGAGACGACTTCAAAATAAAACTCTGCCTGTTCCGCAGCAGTTTGTTCTCTGAACACAAAATATTCATTTCTTTCTACTAAATGTTCCGGAATCCATTTGTGCTGTTGTTTGAGCAGTACCTCTGCCCACCACTAGAGGACACTCTTCTTTATAAATTTAACAAGCTGCAGATTTTTCCTGTTTCTGTAAATTAAAGAAATCACAACCTACAGGCTGAAAATTCGCCTGATAGAGAAATCGATTTAATAATAATAATTTACCTGTCCCGTGTGTTTTTAGCTGTCCTGGGCGTTCTGGTGGCCCACTAGAACATTTAGTGTTTGTGACAGGACAGATGGTAGAGAACTCTCACAGAGACCACTTAGAACATCAACACTGACGGTTCCCCCTCCTCGCGGCCCAGCGGGCCTTCTGATGGAACAAACAAAACTGGCACAGGTGGAGCACTGCTACATCACAAAAACAAGGAAACAATCATTTTATTCAACTAACAACAATACAATACAGTTAAAGTAAAACAAAGCTGGCGCGGTTCCTCCAGCAAACAGCTGCTCAGCGCCGCTTGTCGTACGTCTGTATTGTGCTCCACTCGTAGGACTCTGCAGGAAGACAAAGACCTGATGTAGAAAACATGAATAGTAAAACAAAAACGTAACCAGGATTTAGCTCACCTGGCTCCTCTTGACTCCTCTTCCCCATCAGTCCTACAAACGAGTTCACTTTGTGTCCTTTAAAAGAGAAATATTCAGGCTTTTTGACACAAAAGTAATCAGATTCAAATCTCTTGTCCCACTGGCTCAGACAGGGATCCTCTGGGCCTCTGTTAAAGTTGAGTTTTTCTCTCCACTGTCGCTACATGCTTGCTTAGTATGAGGATTGCTGTGAAGTCTCTTGTCAGTGACTCGATGCAACATGCTGGTCTGTCATAATGAACTGAGCTCAATTGGAATGTTTTATTTAGTGAAGTGCCTTGAGACGGCTTGTGATTTGGTGCATTTTAAATAAATAGAATTTAAAAAATACGAACTTTGATCATCCACGTTTCATCTTTAAAGAGCAAGTCACCCCCCTACCAGACTCTACTCCACCCACATTTCCTGTTTGAAAACTGCTACAAAAGGAGGCGGGGAGTGAGGAATTTAAAAATTAAAGGTCTAGTTCTCTGAGAAACGGCGTATTACTTGTTCTTTCTGAGGTATGGTCGGTCCCTGATTTGTGCATACATGTTGAACACGAACATCGTCTTAAACTCCCATCACCTGAATTAGTCGCAGAAAGAAAATGAACTGAAAACAGCCAGGCCAACAACAGCCAGTGTCTCCTACATCGCAGGGAAGTGTAATAGTGTATGTAGTGGCCCCGCCCACCTTGGCTTCGGCCCACCCAAGAGTGCATTTCAGCTAATGGAAGCTAACCATTAGCAATAGCCTTTCCGCAACATGGCTTGTGTTTTCATCTTCCTGCTGTTTAAACCTGGAACATAAATTGGTTGGAAGTAAACGTGAAGCAGCTACGGTGCACACGGGTGGTGGTGGTGTGTTTGCTGTCAGTCAGAGTAATGGCCTGTAATTGGATCATGAGAGCTTGTGCGGGAGGGAGGGGGGTGTATAACCCAAGGGAGACCTGGGGGACTACTTTATATTACAAGAGAGAAATCAATATTTGCATTAGCCTGATGAGTTGGGTGTGGAAGCTGTTTAGTTTTCTGTCTGGTCTAGAGACTCAGAGCCCCCCCCCCCCCCCCCCCCCCCTCGTGACTGACAGCATGGTCGTGGGATGAATTCAACTCTGACTCATTTAGAAGCTTCTTTTTTCTTGTCCTGCTTTGTCACTCGGTCTTCGGACCTCCTCCTAACTCACACACACACACACACACACACACACACACACACACACACACACACACACACACACACACACACACACACACACACACACACACACACACACACACACACACACACACACACACACACACACACACACACACTGCTGTGAAGCCACCTGTGGGAGTTGTTAATTAAACTGTGTTGGCTCTGGTCTGTTTGGTTGGAAAAATAAAACTGGTTTTAATCCCAAAGATGAAATGAAGCAGCTGTTCTACTGAACTCTGAAGATAAACGCTCTCCTTCTGCTGCCTTTAATAAATCACAGCATGAATTAAACATGAAATTAGAAATGCAGCTCAGCTTTAGTGCTTTTATTCTCACTGCGGAGCACTTTGCTGCTTCCTGTCCTCGACTGCTTGGTGGATTTTTGGGGTTTATTTTGAGAAACTACTGTAACCACTACAAGTAGGTCGGTTGCTAAAAATCTGCATTCAGTGATCTTTTCACACGTCAGGCTTTAAAGGGATAAACATCATTTTATATTATAAAATATAAATAAATATAAATAATGTTAATAAAATTTCAATGAATCAATTTGAACAGAATTGTCTTTATGGTCATTTTTGAGTCTAAAGGTAAACTTTGCTCATGTTTTTAATACATTTGCAGTTGTTTCTAGTAGGAATGAACTTCTTGCCAGTTGTTCTTTGGGGAAAAAGAGCTCCGGTGCGCCTGTTTGAGGACATCGCAAGAGAAGAAAGTATCCCCAGACGATTTTGAGTCTTTATTCCTGACATTTGGGCAGATCTCCTCTGATTGGCTAAGTCAGTCCCACTGACTCTTTTTTTTTTTGCTTAATTTCCACAAATAACAAGCCTGAAGGAGTTGTGCTGTGTGGTGGCATTGCTAATAGTTAGTTCTCTGCTGTTTTCCTGGATGCTAAACCGACAACAGCCTTTCCCGTCGTGAGCCAAGATGGTTGAGTCTTTGAACGTTAGGTGACAGTGTGGCGTAGATATGTCTGTTTTCTATCAGAAGCTAATGCAGGAGGTGTAGGAGACTATTTTACTTTCAATCCTGCATGAAAAACTCAGAATAAAGATAATTTTGAACAATAAGTGAAAATGGTTTCTCAGTGGACCTGCTGTTTAATGGTTTTTCAAACTAATTGAGACTTACTTTTCCTGGAGATCTGTGCATTTGCTGAGGGAGACACAAAGAAAGCATCATTAAAAATAAGATCCGAACCAATCGATGTATGAGGAAGTGTCAAGATTACAGTGGAGATGTCCAGAATAAAAGTCCACATTGGACTATAACATTGTGAGAAAGCGGTAAAGCTGTTTTACCTGCGCCAGTGGTCGGTCCATGGGCACCAAGGGGCATGGGAGGGACCAACTAATCAGGCTCATGAAAAAAAAAACTTCCGAGGGACGTTTCGGGCACTGAGCACCATCAGCCAGCCCAGGAAGAAGAAAAGCTCCAGTTTGTTGTAGAAAGCAACTTAATTGGCTGCTATAGGCCCATTTCTACTATCGGGACAAAGTTTACCGGACCATTGTGCCATGCGTGTGTCTCCTTTTCACCACGCCATTTCAGGAACCAGCGGAGTGCCTGAACTGGGCAAGGTACCTGGAAAAGCTGATTTGATGCAACTCAGTAGAAAAATCATATCTGCATTTGTGGAGTTGGAAGAGTTGCTGGTAAAGCGGCACACAAGCAGTGTTGATACTGTTTTAAAATCCATGTTTCTAAGCTCCCAACACAAAACTACGTGGCGCCCCCCCCCCCCCCACACACACACACACACATCGCTGTAATTCACAACGCTTTGTGGGCACCAACCAGCAAGCTTATAAAAAAGCCTTCCGTGAGGCGCTCCGCACACGGAGCAGCCTCAGCAACAGCCGTCCCAGGCAGGGCGAAGGTAAGAAAGCAACAACTCATTTGAGACGCTGTTTGCATGTGGCTTCTGCACAGACGGCCGCTCACATTGACTGAGGTCTGTCTGAGGGACATCTGCTCTCACAAGAGCACCAAATGATCATTGAAACAAGTCTCACTTCCTGTCTGGCTCATGTCATTATTTATACATCGTGACACTGCATGCAAATGGACTCCATGCAAAAACATTCCGGAGCTTTGCATCTTAGTCCGCATGGCAGCCGGTGTGAACTCTCTGATTGGACTCAATGATTTTTGGTCCATGTGGAAGCTGTACAGAGTCCAGACCACATCTGTTCTGCATTTAGTGTGACTGAGGCTTTTTTTTGGTACCAAGGGTCCGCCCACACGCCTAACGCTCAGACTTTTATTCTGGACATTTAAAATTTTATCACAACTCTGCCTCCAAGTTGTTGCTGTTTTTAGTGTCCCTAATCTGCCTCCGTAGCTCAGAAACCCAACTCACCCATGGAGCGCTTCCCCATCAGACCGATGAACTGACGCGGTGGCGGCTTCCTCGTCATCCTCAGCAGGATTTTTCTGAATGGATCACTGGAGAGCCAGTCCTCCTGCGGAGGGGTGGAATCAGTGAACCCAGTAATAATCCAGATCCAGATCACCTGGATCTGCTGTGTCTCTCTTTAATAATTCTGATAAATACTATGTGGATTTGGGGCTTTCAGTAACAGTTTCTATTCTCATCCTAGTGTGCATTAGTCTAGCTGAGACGAGGACCGGGGGCCGCTAATGGCCCCGGCACCCAGTTCTAATGATTTATACCAGACTCATTCATCTGCAGAGAGAGGAGGAGCAGGTTGGCTCGTCTCCAGTTCACAAAGTCAAACTCAGGACGTTCCACGTCACTGAACATGCAGCCATGTTGGTTTGATTAGATTTCTACAGACAGAGAAAATTCATCAGAGGAACAAGTCTTCTCAGCTCAGTTTGGACTTGGTCACGCTGATGTTCTGGGAGGTTCTGGTGAAGCACTCCAGTTGCTTTAAGCCCACAAACTGAGCTAAACTGAAGAAATTTACTGAAAAAAAAACTACTTAAAAATTCCTTAAGTTATAAATTACTTTACATGAATACACAAATAAAGACTAACCAAAGAAGACACTTTGGAGTGACAGTTAAACTGTTTTCAGAAAAATTAATAAATACAATTTTTTTGCTAATAATTTGACAGATTTGTGCTCTCAATTAAAGAAACTGGATCCTTTAGTTCCTGTAGACCTCAGATCAATGTTCTCCAGCTATTGAGAAGTAAAACAAGCAGAACAACATCCATTTAAAACGCACAGGTCTGATTTAATCCACAATAACCAGAGATTAGTTCTGTAGGAGATCATTTTTTGCCCCCAAAGAGTTAAAATATTTTCTCTAAATGTCTAATTTTATATTTCTGCTCCGTTTCGAAGGCTCAAGACAAAACCTTCAATAAAATAAAACCATGTTACATCCCAGTCAAATTAAAACTGGGAGAATTCAGAAAGACCCGTGTATGCTACCTGGATCGGGTTCCTGCTGGTCCAGAACTCGGTTCCGTCCTTTGGTTCCGTCTCTTCACAAAACACTTGAGCTGCGGAGATCAAAACCACTAAAACCGGCAGGATCAGAAACTTCATGATTGTTTTTTTTTACAGTTTTTATTATTTTTGATTGAATCAGAATAAATTAGCCGCAGTCAAACAACAAAACTAGAAACTAAATCAGCTCGAGCTGTGCGCGCGCTGCTCCTTCCTTCAGAAAGCGCTTTTATTCCATTGCGCGCGTGCGTCACACCGCTGGAAGCTCTCCGCGCGCGCGGCCTCTTGTCTCGTGCGCTCTTCTGTCAGAGCGCCTTGCGCTCCTGTCTTTATAGGGAGCCTGAGCGGCGTTGCTAAGCAACGCGATGGCAGCAGAACTCCGTGATGATGAGGTTGTGGGTCCGTCCGGACCGTCACGCGCGGGTCAGAACCAGCAGGTTGGTCTGTACAACGACGTTCAGCACTCGGGTGAGTAATTTGATGTTTCTACTCCACCCAGACAAAAAAACTTTACATGAAATATTTAAGAAAACCTTTAAATTCCCAACTAAACACTGCAGAAATCATGACCTCTGACCTTATGATGTCCATCTTCAAAATAAACTTTAAAGCTTCATCCAAACTCCAAACGACCTTGTAAATTATTTAGTTTGGTCTCTGTTATTACATATAAATTATTATTATTTACATCTGTCTCCACTAGTTTTAACAATTAAAAATAAAGCTTCTAACAGTTTGGATAATTTTTTATGTTTGAGGGAATTCTGCTCCAATCACTTTGTGTTGTTACACAAGTTTCTGATTTTAATTTTGATTTGTTTGCTTCAGTGACATAATTACTATAGGCTACAGAAACAACAAGAAAATGTACAAATTCTGTTTCAAGTTGCAGTGGCACACTTTCATGTATAAAATAAAATCGTAAAAATCCTCATTTGCATAAATATCTCAGGGTCACAGATAAAATCGTAAAGCAGGTATGTAACTAAGAAGGTTACGTCAAAAATGCAAATTTGGACCACCATAAAATAGAAGCTGTACCACTAAAATAAAAGCAGCATGAGTTTTTCTCTGTCTGATACTGTCTGGTCTTAAGCTCTCCTGCAGTTTAAGAGCAAGTCATCCCCAAATACACAATTTTTTGCTGATAAACTATATAAATGAGTGTCTAATTGTGCTGTAGACACATGTAGGCAATAATTTGGCACTTTAGTGCATCTTAGTTAAAATTTAAACATTCTGCCTGAAACTGTCAGCGTTGCGCCCTCTTCAGGTAAAAACTGCACTGAATTTAAATCTCCATCGCTATTGGCTAAAAGGTACCCTATGATGTTAGCTTGTACCATATGATGTCACAACGCTGTTGCGAGCCTGTGTGTGTATTTGTTAGTGGCTCTGCCCTCTCGCCCTGCCAGGCAACAGCATTTATTGCTTTTTCAAACAGGAAGTGGGAGTGGAGTAAGACTCTGGTACGGGGTGACTTGCTCTTCAAGGATCCTGGAATAAATTTTTAGACATGGGAACTCGTCACCATGCTTGTATTTTTTAGGCTACTTCAATGGTGGTCTGAAGGTACGTTAAGCCTGCATGTTAAAGTCAAAGCGACAGATCATTTTCAAAAATAATAAGTAAAAAACATTTTTGGTTTCAGTGAACCTTCTCTTTAATCATTTGTATTTTTGATGTAAAAACACTACAGCCATGGGCTTTCTAATGGGATACCTTGCTGGCCCAAGAAGGATGCGTTTATGCATCCTCGATTCAACGGACAGTGCAACAAGAACATCTGGGAACTTTGAGCGTACTTGTTACCATACATATTTAGGATTGGAACAGTATCTGGGCCACTGTTGGTGATGTTGTACATTAGTACACGAGTTCAGACAAGTACGCATACTGAGCAACGGCCAAAGACTACGTCAGCTGATGATGCACCTGACCTAACGTAACTTCAGCTGAGCTTAAAAGCTATATGCGATAAAAGTATGGAGCTCCATTTGTGAAAACATTCATTTTGCAAATTATTATTTTTCCCCCCTGTCCTGTCTGGCTGTGAAGCAAACAGAATTAATGTCTGAATGCTGGTAGCAAGCCTTACAGATTTACTCTCAGGAGGAGCATCAAAGCGTCCCACAAAAATTAACAATCAATGTTGAACAGGGGTCTGCTTCTAGACCTGCAGAAAAGGGACACACAACAATACATCAGGAGCAAGCTATCACTGCGTCAACTTGATGAAGAAATATAAAATCAACATTGTTTGAACAATCACACGATAATAAATCACAGTGCATTTAGTGCCAACCGCAGCCTTAAGACATGTGTTGAACGTGCCCAAGTCCATACATTTGAGAGCACCATGTGAGCACCTGTGTGTGGACACACGCTTGTATATGTAAAGTTTCTCTATAGAAGCGTCCAATAGAGAGTGTGAGGGGCCACAGTTCTGCCCCCCAAAGATGTGTAGGAGATGGAGGGAGCTCCAAGTCCCAGAGATCCAGGCGCTGCCCCAGATTACAGGGACCCCAGGGAGACTGCGACCAGAAAAGCCCCTGAAACCCTTGAGAGGCGCAGACGATTGCCCTGGGGGTTCACAACCAACAGCCGGCAGAGTCCTGGGAGATATCAGCGGCTACCCCACAGGCCAGCCCGCAGCCTCCCATCCCCTAGCCAGCCGAGCCCGTAACCCAGCGACCCGGGACCCAGGGGCGACCACCCCTGCCGGAGACCCAGCAGAGCCCAGGGACCCAGATCCCACCAGGCAGCCACCAGGATTGATCAGGCAGACGCCAAAAATCTTAAACACCCTGACCCGGGAGCCACAAACACTCAGGCAGACCAAGGCACCACACTCCACACTAGATGTGGCAGGGGGAGAGGAGACGAAGATGTATAGCAGCAAAAGAAGTCCCAGGAGAGGGGAGGAGTCAAAGGCCCCACCTGACATATACAGTCATACACAGACACAGTCACACACTTCCTCGCTCATGCTCACACATACACATACAACCCAATACTTACAAAAAATGCACGCTGAACACCCACTCATGCTCCCCATACACACCCTATTCACTCTGGTCCCAGTACTGCTGCACATTAGGTACAACCATTACCGGTTCCCAGAGTTCGACCCTTTCTGCTGGGGTGCTGATGAACAGGCTTCCCCGTCCAACGCTGAGCAAAGCAACCCACCACCCCAGACCCCAACCAGACGGCCAGATCCCCCTCCTAGCCTCCAGCCCCGGGAAGCCAAGAGACAACAGAGCTGTGCTAAGGCCCCTAGTCTCCCTCACTCACGCCGGGGACACACCGGCCGCGGAAGCGCCGAGAAGCGAATCGCTCACGAAATTCGGCCGCTGCTCGCCGCTCCTCAGTTCAGATCAGTCGCGCCCCAGTCGAGGCGCGCCTCAGCTCAGCTGTAGTTTTTCTTTTAAACACTTGGTGTCCTCCATTTCCTCTCTGCCTTTTCTCAGCTCTTTTCCTCTACGTTTGAGTGTGTGTGTGTGTGTGTGTGCGTGCGTGTGTGTGTGTGTGTGTGTGTGTGTGTGTGTGAACCTATGGTATGAGTTGTTTCTGCCAGTTGAATCTCTTGGAACCCGCTCCAATTCTGCAGCTGTATCCTATGGGTACGTAAATAATCATGTTTTTCGGGGGGCGTACAGCTCCTTGTGTTTCTCAACTTCAATAATTAATTTAAAGTCATCCATCTTAACTGCTTGCCTCAGACTTTCTGCCTCTCTGTCCTGTTTGCTCCGGTGAAAAGACACCCAAAACCACACACCCCTTCACGTGGTCACACACGCACACAAGTTCAATGTGTGTGTGTGTTCATGTGGTTTTTCTGCAGTGTCTGATTACGAACACATTTGACTATTGCGGAATTTTATTTTGAAATGCTTTATTTTGTTAACTTTACCTGCCTGCCTCTTATGTGTAGGTTTGACTTCCTGCCAGAATTGACGCGATTCACCCGCGGCTCGCGAAAAAAATAGAGCCGACGCTGAAATGATCGCTGCACGGCGCGGGCTGAAGCGCCGGCACGCGCCGGCGCGAGGCGATTCGCGACACTTCGGCGGCCCATGTGGTCTATAGAACAGCTTAACAAGGGCGCCCAATGAAGGCGGTCCCATTTTCGCGGCGCTTCCGCGGCCGGTGTGTCCCCGGCGTCACTCTACTGAAACAGCTCTTCTTAGGGTCTCTAATGACCTTCTGACTCACAGTGATGCAGGGGACTGTTCTGTTCTGGTCCTGCTGGACCTGACTGCAGCCTTTGACACTGTTGACCATCACCTGCTACTGGAGAGGCTGAGAGACTGGGTAGGCCTATCAGGATCTGCTCTGGAGCGGTTCTCCTCTTATCTTTCTGAGCGCTCATTTTCTGTGGCCGTCTCCAAGTTTAGGTCCTCCACCACCTCTCTTACTCATGGTGTCCCACAAGGTTCTGTGCTGGGGCCTCTGCTCTTCCTCCTCTATCTGCTTCCTCTTCAGCACATCCTGAGTTCCTTCAAAGGAATCTCCTACCATCTTTATGCAGATGACATCCAACTGTACATCTCCTTTAAGCCCCATGAGATGTCTAAGCTGCAGCTGTTACACACCTGCTTAGACTCTATCAAAACCTGGATGGCTGGGAGCTTTCTACAGCTGAATGGAGATAAGACTGAGATCTTCATCTGTGCCCCAGACAAGCTGGTTCCCAAAGTCAGAGACTCTCTTGGTCATCTTGCTTCTCACACCAAACCTTCTGTCAGGAATCTTGGCGTGACCTTTGACCCAGCTCTCACCCTGGATTCTCATGTCAGTTCTCTTGTTCGCTCCTCCTACTTCCATCTCAGGAACATTGCTAAGCTGAGTCCCATTCTGTCGCGCTCTGAACTTGAGACTGTTCTCCACACCTTCATCTCCTCGTGTCTGAGCAGAACCTCCCTGAACCGTCTACAGGTGGTTCAGAATGCCTGTGCTCGGCTTCTGACCAAGTCCTCCAAACACACCCACATCACCCCGCTTCTCCTCCAGCTTCACTGGCTGCCAGTCAACTTCAGGGTTCATTTCAAGATCCTGGTTCTGGTCTATAGGGCCTTACATGGACAAGCACCATCTTACATTGGTGATCTTCTTAGTCCCTACACCCCCAGCAGGTCCCTGAGGTCCAGTGATCAAAGCCTACTGGTTGTGCAGCACCAGGCTAAAGACCAAAGGTGACAGATCATTTGCTGCTGTGGCCCCCAGACTCTGGACCTCTCTCCCCTTAGCCTGAGATCAGTGGACTCAGTGGTCTCCTTTAAAAAGCAGCTGAAGACTC